GAATATTGAACGTTGTTGGGGACTTTCCATAAACACGTGAAGTGTTTAAAAAAATTAAAATAAATATGCGAAAAAATATAAAGCAAGGGATATTTAAAAGTGTGGACAAGATAAACGCCTTGGGCCCTTGAAGACTTCCCTCAATTGAGGAAACATTTGACGTGATAAAACTTGTAAATTTACGTGAAGTCCTTGATTATGAGAATTATTATTACCTATTTATGCATGTTTATAATTTTAGTCGTCTGTCGTAATTATTTTAAATCTTCTGCAAGGATATTACTGAAATTTCTAGACGGAAGTTGCCGGCTACTCAGAAGACCTGATCTAATGCACATGAGATAAAAGGAAATTCGATCTCGTGTTATACCATTCCTTTTTCATCTTACGTCATCGTAGAGCCGATTAGCGATTTGATGGCACTAAGCCCACAATTCTGCCGAAAAATTGTATTTCTTGTTTAGGGGATTCCAAAAGTTTAATACCCTCCATTTAGCAAATTATTTTGCACATAAAAGTCCAGTGAACTTTAACATTTGTTCAAAAAATCGAACAACACAGTTGCGACTTCTGAACATATGGGCCTGGATGTGGACATCAAAAGAGCGAGCAGCTCGCTCAAAGAAATTGTTTATTTATTTAGGAAACTACAATACACTTTATGCATGTGATTGTTTGATATTAATATCATTTTATGTAATTATGGACGTTGAAAATAATAAAGATATGTGGATGAGTGTTATGGCTGTCTCGGTTTCCGTGCATAATTTTTGCGCAAGCTATTCTTGTGCTTGCTATGTTTTTGCAATGTTTTTACCACACTTCTCTTTAACTTCCCTATACTTGTTGTTTGTCTGTCTGCCACAAATCTTATAATCGATATTTAACACACTTCTACCTGTCCAATCGATCTGAAAATATGCACACTTGCGTAAAGTTAGAGACAAGGCACGAATCAATTGACAGAATTAAAAAATAATTTTACCAATTTAGAATTTTTTTACATATAAAAATATAATAAGAAATTCATTGTACATGTGTAACATCGGAGGCATCGGCCTCTTTAGAAGTGTGGTCTTTAAAAAGTAATTTTTAAACGCATATTATTTATCGATATGTTAGTGCTCACTTTGTTTATTTTATGTTCCGAGTTACGTTGTTAACGTGGCTACGCCACAGTAGTGCAGTATTTTTTTCTTTTTTTATTCATCTTATAGGTCCCGGAGGCGTGGACAAGTTCACTTCAAGGGATTTAGTTGCACTGATTGATATATAAGCAGCGATTGAAATCTATCTTTAAAATTTTTATTTAGTTTAAATTAAAGCCTATGTTAAAATACGCAGTCGATGGATTTTTTCAGGAGCCGACATTTCAGTCAAAAGTCAATACAAATTAGTTGCTTAAGTTTCTTTCCATTTATCGCAATGATAGTTATCTACGAAAAATGATTTTTTTTTGTATAGACTGAAGCATTTATCTCTTGTTCAATAAGATAAAATTTATCTTCCTAAAACCATAATATACTGGGAATAATTCAGTGGTTCAGTGAGCTTCAATTCAGAACACGAAAGTTTTTCTGTCGGAGGTGTCCAGATGCGCAACTTTCGTCTCTTGTCTTGTGAGGCCGTTGAGGAAAATCCGCCGTCCGCGTCTCGGCAATGGATAACAGTGAGTTGGTAATGGAAATAGGGGATATTTATTTTATCTATTTATATGTACATAATTGATTAATTTGTGACGTCGCGAAACAGTCCAAACGATCACCTAGATGATTAAGCAATACAAATCCCAGACATCAAAAATGTACTCAAGGAGTTCTATGTATAATTCCTTCCAATATTTACAAACATTTATAATAAGGTTACGGGTCCGACAACGAAGCGCAACTTTGTCGCGGTTGGACCTCGAAATAATTCATCTCGTAAACACGATTATCGTTTGCTCATGGCTAAAAAGACTAGAAAGTTGCTGCTATACATCATGTTATTTCGACGCACTTAACGAAGCACTTGAACTAATGACATATCAAATAAATTTCTTGTCTTCCGAATAAAACTTGTCGAAAATTTTTCGGCGCGGACGCAATTATTCCCAGGAGTGCTGCTCTCAGTGCCGGGCGTTTCCCCAGAAGAGCCCTCGAGCCGATAGCCGCTTTCTTAATGTATTCCTACATAGCGCCCCAAAAAACTAACCAAAAATAGCAGTTAAATTAGGCCTGAAAACAAAAGTTAGCGAATGCATACAAAACTCCCGCTTCAGAGTACTCGACATTAATGCATTCTGAAACTTTTCTTGCTCCGATCAATTGGAGTCTTGAAGTTAGTCCTGAAAACATGAATAAGTAAGTATAGCCGTTGCGAGAAGCTGAATTGCACGTGAATGATACAGAGTCGCTAGTTTTCATTATATCGTTCGTGTGCTGAAGTGTGTCAGAATGTGGCCTTAAGATAACGGTGAACATATTTCTCAGTTCAAGCGCAGACAGGGTGAAGTTCACATCGCGTATCCAGTTTACTCCATGTCGGCAAGCGGATATGAACTGAGATTCGAGCGGCTAGCATTATTCCGTTAAACATGTCTAGGAGGCGCATCAATTACTTTAATTTTCGAGGCTAATTAGGGATACTAATTTAATTTAAGTAAAACCTTTTTAAGAATTTCAAGTTTCAAATAGAAAATGTAAACTAGTTCAATAAAAAAATTCACACTAATGCTACTTGAACATTGGTATTTATAGCCGCGTGCAAAGAAAAAAATTAGATCAGTACTCACAGCAGTGAGCGACAGAGAGCGCACTTTCTCGCGTCCGTCCGTCCGTCACGGACTGATGGACGGACGTCACGAACAGACGGATATGACGAGCACAATAGCCCCTTTTAGCAATAAATGAGAAAATACGCTAAAAATTGCGGAAAGGAAGTGAAAAGAGGTTGTGACGCGCCATTGTAACGCCATGTCAGAACAGTTTCCTCATTGTGCTAATAAATTAACGAAAAAATTACAGAATCAACCATGAAACATATGAATAATCCATTGTAAATTTAGGATGATTTTATTAAAGGCAAAGAGTCTAGTATTAATTTAGAGAATAAAAAGGATGCCGTGAAAATTTTATGGACGTGAAATTTTACCCCTTTTAATTGGAGCTGTAATGTCACTTTAGGTACAGCAGAGAAAAGATTCTCAATAATTGAGATAGTCCATCGATCTTTTCAATATCCAGCGCCAAATCGATTAGTATTGTTATTGTACTCACATTGTTGTTGTACTCACATTGCTGTACTCACATTGTTGTTGTACTTAAGTGCATCGCATCGACCACTAGTGGTCGATTCCGCTAATCGTTGTCCCGCGGAGCATGGTATGGATAAGAGGGTTAAGCGGAGCATGGTATGGATAAGAGGGTTAAGCGGAGCATGGTATGGATAAGAGGGTTAAGCGGAGAATAGCATGGATAAGAGGGTTAAGCGGAGCATGGTATGGATAAGAGGGTTAATCATTACGTGGTCATATCGGACGCCTGTTTTCTGCATGTACTGGCACGGGGCATTATGGGTAACGTTGGACTGATGATTATTGTGCCACATAAGGAACGCGCGCTACACTCGTGTTTTTGAATGAAACAGAGATTACTCTATAGCCTATGCAAAAAATGTCTGTATTTTGATATGGTGGGACTATCGGACAGCATTCTAAAATGTTGATAAGCTTTAGCAGGGCGCCGACGTCGGCATAAACAGAGCGCCTCAAAAGGAGGCCGCGGAGGCCTATTGTGGCGAGGCTTGGCCGATATTGGCCTGGGCCAGCGGATGCCGCCACTAATATCCGATGCCTGATATTTCATGCGATATAAGGATATTGTTTTGACGCTCGTGCAGTGTCCTATTACGTAACTTACGATTGCACTTAGGAATTTCAGTGGAAACGAAAATTATTCGAGTCTCAAGTTTATTCATTCATTAAGGCGCTACATTTTTTATAATATAAAGAACTTCAGTGAAATTTCACTGAAACAAACAGACCTTCGATATCTGCTTGTGTCAAGAGAACTATGAAAATAAATTCCCGATTCACATACTCAGACAACCCAAGTCCCGAATACTCCGCGATAATTAAGGCATTAGTTAGGGCTGAGTTACTTCGAATCGATTGAGTTCAATGTAAATAGAAATTTCCTTGCAGCACAAAAATTTAACAATATAAATAAAAGCATCACGGAACCAGATTTGCGCAAATGACAAATCCAACAAAATTTGGTTTAATGATATGCTTTGCATTATCAAGCAAGACAGCAGTACTCAGTCGATAGTACGTGGACCTGCATATTTTTGGCAGCTCCATTAGACTTGGATGAGAGGTAATCTTTCCGAAGCGCTCATTTGCATCCGACCCCCAAATTGAAGAAGATTGCCACGACATATCCTTGATTTTGCTTCTCTGTAGGCACCAAGCCCAGCCTTGATATTGCTTCTCTGTAGGCACCAAGCCCAGCCTTGATATTGCTTCTCTGTAGGCACCAAGCCCAGCCTTGATATTGCTTCTCTGTAGGCACCAAGTCCAGGCTTGATATTGCTCCTCTGTAGGCACCAAGCCCAGTCTTGATATTGCGTGGCAAGGAGCTGAGGGCACCAAGCCCAGCCTTGATATTGCGTGGCAGAGAGCTGGGGACTTCAAGCCCATTCATAGTCATTGAAATCTAATACTAAGTCAAATCTAAGATGTTGGGCATGTTCTATTTCTTGTTATATCAATATATTTCTAGTGATATATAATGCTGGCATTAAATTATAAACAAAATAATATGAGAAATTAAATAAAAAATAACGTACTTTACATACAAGTGTAACAGGAGGAGAATTTCACACATGAGGCTCCAACCTGATTAAATTTCTGCAATATATGGGCGCCAATTACGCAGTTCTCCTGAATATCAGAGAAGAATCTTATTATTACGTTAACAATAAATAATTTTCAACAAAAGTGAAATGATTTAGCTTACCTTTAATGAAGTCGACAGCTTGTTCTAAGCCATAGGTGTCTTTATCACAGTCATCGAAGATGCGGGCCCCCACTTTCATGCCTCGGTCCAAGACACCGTTCCGGGGATCATTAATGTAGTCCAGAGTGAAGAGCATCGCCTCCAGAGCTTGTATGCCGCCCTGGGGCATCACTGGTCCACATATCATGTCCTCCTGTCGCTCATGGACCATCATGAGGCCACCCAACATCGTATCGCCGTCAATCTCCACGAAATAATTTTGCGGCCAATTTTCGTAAGTATTTGCTGTACTTGCAGAAATTGTATCGCCTATTTTCGAATTGGTAACGGCAGATGGAGAAAGAGAATTAGCGATAAGTAAAGATTGATTTTGATACAAATATGAGTGGGAAATTAGTTTTGAGTTGTGAGCAAAATCATTTTCGAAAACATCCGATTTGTAGGTTAATTCTGGCGTAGGTTGAACAAGGTGCATTTTCTTGGGACTAGCTTTTCCAATTGGGCTTAGGGAAGACTTTTCTACTTTGAAAATGCTTTTTTCATCTTGTTTTGGACGCAGTCGGTCTTGTGCAACAAAATTATAAATTTTGTTGCTCTCTGATGTGGAAACTTTCCTCATTATATTTTGATGGAGACCTCTAGATAACGCAAAGCTCACATTATCATTTGTAGATTGTTCAGAATATTCTTCTTCAGAAGTCTTCAAGGGAATGTGAACAGATTCATCGTTGTTCTCATAATAAATGCCATCGAGATTCGTGGTCAAATTTTTCAACGTCTTATTTCGGCCGAGCGAGGAAGAAATGTTCCGTATTCGCTGTTCATCATTTCCAACAGGGACATTATTTTTTTCTTCACTGAAAACTGAATCGCGATTTCCCATCTTATGCTTAGCGTGACGAATTTCCTCCCTTGCATTGGAATTTCTCAAGGAATCATCTTCAAAATGTCTAGAATTTTTTATTGTACCTTCCGAAGGCTTTATAGTGACATCTATCAAATCATAATTTTTACTTTTTCCCTTTGTTTTATACTTGAAACCAGAGTTGATTGGAATTTTTTCTTTGAAGTATGCTTGAGTATCTGTGAAAGAGCCTGTTGTAGGGACTGAACGATTAATCAAAAGTTCTGATGATATTAAAGTTTCATACCTAATAGATGGCTTTCTGTCTCCTTCAGGTTTGATTTCATTGTACTTTTCTTCGATGTTTTTCTTGCCTTTTTGCCCATGAATAGTACCTGCTGAAAGGATTGGCGCATCTTTTGCATTTTGCGCCGTTTGAGCTTTGTTATCTTTACCTTCATTCCAAGTCAGAAGTCTTTTTTTCTTCGTCCTTTGATTGAATCTTCTTTTCGAAGAATTTTTATTCCTGTGTCTAGTTTTTAGTGAACGTCTTCCATCAAATTTGAGAGACGACTCCTGATGTAAGTTTTGTGGAGGATTTTTTAGTGATAGTTTTTTCTGGACTCCGTCAACCTTATTCGCCGCAGTGTCACCGGCAGTCGTGGATTCGACGGCATCTCCGGCGTAACTAAATTGCTTGCTGTCGGCCTTGTTATTAACGACAAATCTAACACTTCCTGCTTGCCGTGGATGTTCTTTTCTTTTATCGAAACTTTTTCTATATTTGTTAGATGGTTCATAAGGTGTTGGGTTAGCGTCAAACATAAAATCACTCGACTTGTACGATTGATGGTCATTGTCATCTCCCGCATTCATGAGCAGACCGATCTCTACATTTTTTTCTAAGCGTTTCGAATGCCTCAAAGGATGCCTGGGTTGATTCCTTGCCATCATTTCCCCGTTCAATGGCGATCCGTGCATTGTTTGGAATGTCGAATCATTTTCTAGAGCAGTCGCGTCTCTAAAGATTATATCTTCTGAAATCCAATTATTTCCAGACGCAACGCTCGTCCGTGCTCGGTGCGAGTTGTTCACTCGACTGTCCGCTGGGTTAACAGAAATCTTTCTTACTTGCGGATCACTGCTCGTAATGTTGGAAGATATTATCGTGGCAATGTTGAGTACTACGCATGAGAGAAGAAAAACGTTGTACCGAACGAACATCGCATCGAATCTTTATCGATGATCTCACATAACACATTCACTACTTCGTCGCGAAACCAAAGGCACTGACAAGCGTCTGCGCTTATTTACGATTCACTTAGGGTCTTAATATTCATGACTTCGACTTCAAGGTTTCTATTTCACTATTAGGGAATTAAAACTTGATAAACACTTATTTAACTTTATTCGCGGAAAATAATCGCATTTTAACAGTCACTTTCACTTCTGACCAGTTTCATCTTCCTTCCCTGATTCCAACTCAAATTAACGATTTATCAAACGTATAATTCACGTCACCCCAGATATGTAAGCAGAGCCCATTTTCTCAAAGATTATCTGAGCATTTGAGACTTAAAGTGTAGAAAAGCGTCACCGGAATACAATTCATAATTTTCATTCTAGAATTCATCTGCAAATTGACAAAGAAAAATCCTATAGTAATAGAGAATGTAGCGCTTAAAGCAGAAAATTTTATACAATAGTGAACCACAAAGAAACAGATTTTTTAGCCTAGAAAGTAAATATTTTCACAGAATACTCAGTCCATATATTGCTAGTATATAAAATTATATTCCGATTCGAATGTATACTGTGGATGATTAATTTCAACCTGACTTAGGCATGTAAATTTTTCATTGGCAACAATTATTTTCTTTTCTGGCTTTGAAGTTACCAAAGCGGAAACTCGTAACTGGACAGACGGTCCTGATGACACATTATTATTGTTACCTCGCACAACGTATGTGTAGTTAACTCAAGCAATGTAAACATTGGTACCTAATGCAATACAAGTATTGTTATTGAAGGCAACATAAATTTTGTTATAATGGTGAGGAATGAAACTATAAACAAAAATAATTACAAAATGATGTTAACGAAATTAGGGAGATGTTTTGACTTGGAAGATATATTGTATTGGATGAATGATAATAATTTGTTTAGAGCTTTTCTCAATCTTCATTAGACGCTATGTAATAATGAAAGCAGGTAAAAATTTCTAAATACCTTATGTGAAAAAACAGTAAAATTTTCTAAGTGATGGTTTTAAGAATGTGTAATATGTTTCCTTCAGAACTATGAGGCATTCAGAAAATGATCGAGAATCAATCAAACTAAAAAGTTGAATCGATCGTTGCGTTCATTCAATTTGAAAATTGAATAAATCCAACTGCAGGAAGCCCGCAAGCTGTTCCTCTCACTTCATATATTTTACGCTCGGTTTTGTTGGAATTTCTCTTCATTAATTTTTTGCCCGTCGAACTCCTCTAGAACAAGTTTGCCCACAGGCTCCTGCTCCTGCAGATAAACTGCTGCAGCAGTCCAACAAAAAAAATCGGTTGGAGCAAACGAAGAATTTCTTAGGTCTGGGTTTGATCTAATCTTCTTGGAACATTAATGCTTCTAAGTTGAAAATTCCTTTGAAAGAAACTTTAGGAAAAATTATACAGTAGCAAACAGTTTTTAGGCGTCTTCAGTCAAATTGAAAACATATAACGTACCTAGAATATGAGTGGGAATCATAACCTAATGCACTACTGCTGGTTATGAATCTTGAGTAAGCAATCTTCTACAGCCATTTATAAACCTCGATTATTTTATCTACTACTTCCGCTCTTCATCCTGGAGTATATGATCAACTACTGCTACTCATCAACCTCGAGTATTTGCTCCTCTACTGCTACTCTTCAACCTGGAGTATTTGATCAACTACTGCCACTCTTCAACCTGGAATATTTTATCAACTACTGCCACTCAGCAACCTGGAGTATTTAATCAACTACTTCCAGTCATCAACATCGAGTATTTGATCAACTGCTGCCACTCATCAACCTCGAGTATTTGATCAACTACTTCCAGTCATCAACCTCGATTATTTGATCGACTACTGCTACTCATCAACACCGAGTATTTGATCGACTACTGCTACTCATCAACCTCGAATATTTGCTCCTCTACTGCTTACTCATCAGCATCGAGTATTTGTTCCTCTACTGCCACTCATCAATTTCGAGTATTTAATCAACCGCTGCTCTAGTACTGCACGCACGAACGGTCCATGCGTATGCTTCAAGACTGGAGGTCTTCCGTTGACTGAAATAAAACTGTTCATACCAGAAACTTTGTCTTCTGCGAGGGCGAGTGCAGGAATCCAATATTTCTTGATATGGAATTCCTACGGAATTAATCGGTGAGTACCGAGCGTGTTTTGACGCACGCTTCCCCTACCGCGTTGACTTTCGCTACTGTGAAAGATAATATAATTTAATTGCAACTTAAAATACTTTTTTAATACTAGATACGTAAAAAATTCAGCTCTAGATTCAGCTCAAACTGAAAATTCAGCTCCAGGCCAACACATTCAAAATTATAAAAATGACAAATGTAGCACTTCAAATTAATAAAGCAATCATTTGTATTCCAACCTTCTAAAAGCTATGACCTCATTTGTTCAAATAATTCATCTAAAATTTTATACATAAATAATATGTCACCAGCAGAGCGTATCGACGTGCCGCCATCCTCTTGAAGATGGCGTGTAGTAGACAAGTAGATCTGACTTACAACAACTAATGAAATTAGTCTAATGAAATTAAACTCCCAACTAAAGTAACTAATGAAACTGAACTTTCACGTACTTGTTCATCGTGGCGAGAAACTGACTTTACCACATCAGAAAAAATTAATGGCTGAGTTTGCTGAATTAGTTCTTGAATTGAGCCTGCTTAAAACTAATTATTAATCAAAGAATGCTTGATTAAAGCCTGCTTAGTTAAAGCTTGCCAAAATAAAGTCTGCTTAATTGAATCATGCTTAATTAAAACATGCTTAATTTAAGCAGGCTTAATTTAAGCAAACTTAGTTAAGGCATGTTGTCTCATCATTTTACGTGAATCTTTTCGAGGACTTTTCGAGCTTCTTAACTCTCCATCTCGGTGCGATTTTCTGTTGACGATAGCAGTATATAAGAATTTCTGGTCGAAGTGTATGTGCTAACGCATTGCAACTTTTTTTGAAATATTTTCACATATGCGACGGCTTCAAAGAAGAAAATTAATAGCGACCCATCGCCTGCTATAACCAGGGCTAGAAATTATGGGGACGTATTGATGAGCGGAAATTTCTGCCGTGAACACCAATGAAGCGAGAGGATGATAAGAGCAGATACAGGTAATCGATGGGCCAGTCAAGATTTATGTAATACGATGCAAAGAAAAGTCATTGAAATAAATCATGCATGGATGGGGCACCAAAATGAATTATGCATGGCATCGAAGTTCTACTAACGTCCAGACTCAGGTCGATCTCAACTTTAGATTTTGATATTTGAAAAACAAATAGCACTGTAGTAGCCTGAGATTCTACGAATCTCAGGTCTACTTTCTTGGTTCTCTACCGCTCTAGCGCAGTTTTCCTGAAGCCTGTTCGCAACATGTTTCAGTCTCGTACTGTCGGAGCTGAGGTGCAGACAATAATTGGCCGTCGTGATGTCAGCAGTGGCTATCGGCTCTTCAGGCCTCATGCTATTTTGTATTTGTTGACAGTCCTGTAGGCTGGGCAACATGCCCAATGTTTCTTTTGTTAGTGAGAACGAGCCCTGTCAATTGCAACCTTATTCAATCTCAGCGACTTCGAAGGTGACTGCTAGGGACCACCCCCCAGCGCCTCGATCACTGAGCGCAGTGACTCAGACAGTTCTACTTAGCAACATCGATGGCGACTGCTGGGAAACAGCCCCCATCGTCTAGACCAATCGAATGCAGTGTCTTAAAGAAAGTTACCAGCGACTTCAGCGGCGACTGCCGGGAACCAGCCCC